ATATATATATATAATAAATTAATAAGACGAATCCAATAATTCTCAGCAGCAAACCGGCCGCTTATTCTCGCCGGCTTAACTTGCTTACTTATCCTTTCAGAAGGATGTAGAGGGAACTTGGTAAAAATACACGTAAAACACAGCTTACACGCCGGTGAATATATATAAAAGCGGCGAAACGGTGAATTTATTAAATCCACGCTGCGACAAAGCCGGCGGCCGCTTCGCGTGGCCGCTCATCGTTTTCAGGAATTAAGCGGAATGGGCTCTGGGTTCGTTTGCTGTAATTAGCGGGACAAAGAGCTCGGCGAAAATTGCGTCCGGTTTGGTTTCCATAAACTGGCTTAATGTAATTGCCACGCGGGAGAAACGTAAGGATATACGTTTCTACTTTGAGGAAGCGAATATCGTTTCTCCCTGAACAAATTTTCTGTCTTTCCTCGCGAATCCTTGAAACATTGTCACTTGGACGAAGTTGGAGAGTTTTTTTTTTTTTTTAGAAAAATAAAAGAAAAATATCTTTTCTTTCTTTTAGAAAGATCTTCGCAAATATCGATTCAAGCAGATTTCTTCTTTTTGGACAGGGATTCACCGTGTGCGGTATAGAAGCAAATTATCAAAGATGAAAATTAACGCGATATCGAGGCGAGTCCCGGAGGGTTCGAAGGGGCAGCGCAGAGGGATCATTAATTTAAATTTCAATTCGATTTGCATGTAAACGCGTCCCCCAAGCAAGCGTCGGGGGAAGAAGTGGTGGTGGACGAGAGGAACGGGTCGGATCTGAATCCACGAGCATTTGAACGGGGGGTGGATGCATTTAGTCGAATTTCCAGCCTTAATTAGAGTGACGGTGACGAAATGGTGGAACACGGTGCCGGATATGAAAGCGAGCCGAGCGAGAGGTCGAGAATAAATCGAGGGTGAATAGTTTTGAACGTTAGTTCTCGTCCACGAACCAGGCTCGTCTCGTCGCCACACTGTTGATGCCACGTCTTTGGAGAATTAATTCTGCACGTTAAAACGTTACAAGTTTTAACACGCTCGCTCTATTCTTCGTCCAATCCGACGAATAATAAACAACTCCATTTGGTCGTCGAATAAAATTTTCGCGTATCTTTGTGTGGGTTTGTGCGTTCTCCAGAATCCACTGTGAATATATCGCGTATATCGGAATATTCCACGAGGGAAAACGTTTCCTCGAGGGAAAATATCGCGTATTTAAACTTTTTTAAAAAGTTAATCCGAATTTCTTCAAAGCTATCGATGTATCGGTATTTCGCGTTAATACCTTCTTATTTAACTGGTAGAAAGGACATAGAAGAAAAGGGAGGAGAGAATTTAAAATCTAATATATATAAAAAAGTGACGAGTTTAAATCCATCGCGCCAATTTCCCGTTTATGTTTAAATATTTTCCGTGCAACGTTTGCTTTCCGCGAGATGGTTTCATTTGCGGGGATTCTGGCAGAAGCGACAGTCATATTTACCGCGATAAATCGGGGGAAAAAACTGCTTATTGCGCAGATTTATCCAGGAGCAAAGTTTTTAATCCTCTGTTTACCCGGTGATCTCGAGAGTTGAACGTGAAAACGTCGCTTTGCTCGCTCGGATATCTTGACCGCGCATCGATACTCCCTTTCTCTCTCTCTCTCTCTTTCGAGCATAAAAAGAGAAGAACGACCTTTGCGTGCAAATGATCGCGAATAAAATATATAAAATTGGAAAGTTAAATTAACCGCACGAATTGGAAAATATTCGAGGCGAAAGCATTGCGTGGAAAACGTGTCCGGTCAGAATTTCCACGCGTTTATTCCCCGAGAAGCGCGACTTTTAATTACCGTCGTCGTCGTCAACGTCGATTCGTAAACATTGCGGGAAATTTCATTAAAAGCGGGGACGGCTTTATTAATCGAAATGGTCGCGCAACACCCTCTTTGCGTCCAGGGACTTTGTCGTTGCCTCGAT